CTACCAGGTGCGGGCGGGTGACCCTCCGGCCCGGGGGAGGGCGCGGGTTGCGACCCGCTCCCCGCGTCGTGTTTCTTTCCCTCCACCCCAGGGTGCGGTGGGCGCTCGGGGAGCCTGCGCCTGTCTGTCCGCCTGGAGATATCAGTGCCCAGCTGCCGGGTCAGGTCCTTGTGGGACCTTGTGGGTGGAGTTGGGGTCGCAGGGAGGATCCAGGGTCTCAGGGCAGAGGGGCAGCTGCTGGCAGCCTTAAGGGAGGAGGAGGTCTGGGCAGCACTGAGGAAGGCCAGTGTTCACAGGCAACTCCACGTGTGAGCATCACCTGTCTGTCCACTTAGACATTCGTGTATGTGTCTGTGCTAACACAGACAACATACGCACCATAACAGAAAAGTAACTGTATGGCCAAGAGGCCTGAACAGTCACTTGGTTCCTGCTGGGGCGGAAGTCCCCTGTCAAGAGATGTCCACATGGGCTTGAACACCCAGCTGCAGAACGCGCACTGCTTCATATGGAGCTTGCTAAACACATCTAGTAACTTTGGACGCGGGACATTTTTAGTTTGGAAGCAGATGGTGGACGATCAGGTTGCACACCATCCCTGAGGGTGAAGGTGGAGAGGTGGCTGCTGACTAGAAGCCACCAAGGTGAAAACAAGTGGAGTACAAGCTGCCCCACAGCCAGCGAGCACCTGTGTGATGCTGCCTTTATGAGTCTTAGTCTCCCTGTGTGAAGGAGTGTTTGAACCAGTGATTCCCCAGGTTTCTCTACCCCTGCCGCTCACTGATTTCTATGAAGCTTCCTCCTGTATTTGCCTTTGTCTTACGCTCAGTCAGTAACTCGACCTATTCAGAAAGGAAAGAGTGGTCCTGGCCTGGGTCTCCTGTCTGACTAGAGCAGGCAACAGCAGGTGCAGCTTGTGCTCCACCTGTTCTTGCCCCAATGGCTTGGAGCCAGAGGCCGCCTCTCCACCGTCATCCTCAGGGCTGGTGTGCCACCTGAGGTTGTGTTGTAAATGACTGGCACGTCAGTGTAGACTGCTGAGCAGTCTGTTGTACCTTGCTCAAGCCTCACAGTCCCACAAGGTCCACCGGCCCTGCTGGTATCCACCTGCCTTATACAAGTGAAGATAAATCCTCTATGTGAGTGACTTGCCCCGGATCACACAGTTAACAAGTGGCAAAGCCTGGGGAGCGTTTCCTCAATTTACCTTCCTCCTAGTTTCAGAAAGCCTTGTTGCCCTGTCTGAGGAATAGCATTTTTCCTGGGACATATATGTTCCTCTGCAGACCAGTGTGGTCATTTGGTTTTTGAGAGATGGAGCCAGTAACCCTAAGGTCAAATTTCAGCTATGTAACCTTAGGAACCTCAGTTTCCCCTTCAGTAGAATGGAGGAATCAGGCTCACTGTATTCCTGCAGAGCAAAATCTTTGGCAGGAGGTAGGCATAGATTCAAGTATCAGCCCTGGTGTTGGAGGCAGTGTGGTGAAGATTAAGTGAGGGGAGTCTGAAGGGGCTGATTGCAGGCTGTGGCCATTGTGCAGAAAGTATTGGTTGTCCCTCGATGACAGTTCACTGTCTGTGTGTCAGGTCATCACTGGAGGCCACTATGATGTTGACTGCTACGTGGAGGACCCCCTGGGGAACATCATCTACAGGGAAACCAAAAAGCAGTATGACAGTTTCACCTACCGCACTGAAGTCAAAGGCATTTACCAGTTTTGCTTCAGCAACGAGTTCTCCACCTTCTCGCACAAGACTGTCTACTTTGACTTCCAGGTGGGCGACGAGCCCCCAATTCTCCCGGACATGGGGAACAAGGTCACGGCTCTCACCCAGGTGAGTGAACCCCCAACTGCTAATGACAGTGTTCAGTTCTAAAGGACACTGCTGTCTTCCCTGTTTTCCTTGCCGTTCTTTAGCCGCATCCCTGCAGTATCTGACTTCCCTTCATTCCCATCAGTCTCTTTCTAAGCTCTTTAGGTCGTGGACCTCTGCTTATTTGACATGCCTGCTGTGAAGAGAAGTCCTACTGTGTGTGCTGTGTTAGTGAGGGCAACACAGCTGTTACAACATGCCACGGCTTGCGTGGCTGAAAGGTCCACGAAGTGAGGATGGTGGCAGGGGATGAAGAAAAGAAAGACAGAGATCTAAAAGAACAGAGAGATACGAAGCTGAGGCCAGGTGGGGCTTTTCCTTCTGATGCGATAAAAAAGACCACCAGGCAACTGCAGTACATTTATTTATAGTGGTAGAGATAACAAGTGCAGGGGGTGGGGTGGGGGTGGTAAAAGGGGCTGGTTTGTAACTGGAACCAGAGAGTAACTAAGGTCTGCAGATCAGTATGCTTGATGGTTTTTGGGGGAATGGACGGGGAGGAAGACATGTCCTCTTCTCGGCCAGGCCTTGCTCCACCACACCCTCTTGTCACCTGTTGTCCCACTGGGCCTACCTCATCCTTGGGAGGAGGTGAGTTAGGCCTGGCCATAGTGATCTGTGGTGCAACACTCCCAGCAATAACATATCAACCCCAGTGTCAGTGGATTAACAGTGGTTTTTCTTTGCTCATGATAGTTGAGAGAAGGCTGGTGGGTGCTTCCAGAATGGCATGACTCAGGGACCAGACTCTGGTTTCTTTCTTATTTTTCTTCTCTCCTGGGGTTTCAGGGTCCTCTGCCTCTAGTCACTCAAAGGAAGAGAGAACAAGAAAGGCCTGCCAGGTAGTCACATGCGTCACGTCTGCTCAGGTTTCTTCGGGCAGGTGAAACAGTCCTGGGTAGCAGTAGTCTCTCAGCAATAGCTCCACACCATGGAGAACAACTGTGACATTGCAAGAGCTCAAATAACCACCTCTGTCCCTACCTGCTCTCCAGGTTTGTTAGGATCTGACCCTGCCTCCACCATCTGCCTCCTACTTTTAATTAAGCCCCTCCTTCCTTTCTTCCTACATGACTAGGGCTGTAGGCTGAGGGCTGGGGCTCTGGAATTTACCTTGTATCCTCCCTGTGCGTAAGGTGTGGTGCTGAAAGAAATTCTCCAGATGTTTGTTGAATGACTGTCAGGGCCCTAAACAACCTGTAGGACAGAGATGTGCTTGTTCCAGAGCCAAGGCCAGTGTGTCTGCAGCCCTGGGAAGCCAAAGTGCCACTGATTGCCCTCAGGCTGGCCGTGAGCCCTGATCCTCTGCAGTGTGGGCATACTCATGGAGTCCTACGCATTGCCCAGTTTTCCCTCTTCCTTGAAGTTATGGCTGTGTCATCCAGCACATACGTTCACGTCTGTCTCTGCCGTGTAGCATCTTGCAGATCTGAGTCATGGCAGGCAGAATTCACGTGATGTGCCCACTGGGCCCAAAGTGTGGAGGGATGGGGCCCCAGCCCTGTTGGGGGTGTAGCCTTGCTGGCCATTTAGCACTCAGCATTGTGGGCAGAGTGTAGCTTGAAGAGTGCGGGGTCTTGGAAGGTCCAGTCAGTGTTTCTAGGAGGGCCAGCCAGGCTTCCTGGCAAAGTGAACTGTGGAGCTGCTGGAAGTATCTGTCACAGGAGCAGAGCAGGACGGATTGATGGCTATGACCTTTGGTCAACTGGGCATGGGTAATCTTTTAGCCAGTGGCTGCTGTTTCCTGTTGCTCTTGAAGTAGAATGGGGAGTCTGCCTGATGGAAGTTTTGTGGTAACAAGGGGAACAGGTTTCTTTCTGACTAGCGTGAACTCATCTCAGCAGTCAAGGAAATCGCATGTGTTCATGGAGAGGGGTGTCTGTGACGCCTGGTGGTGAGCTGCCTCAGGGTTTCTTGGGGTGTGATCTGTGCCCCAAAGGTTTCCAGGGCAACAGTGCTGAGAAGTCATGGGCCAGCACTGCTGCATCCCAGGCCTGGGCCCAGCATCTAAGGAGCTGCCTGTCTGGTGAGTCCAGTGTGCACTTGGAGCTCCTGACTGTGACAGAAAGAAACTTGGAGAATGGGATTCTAGCCTGGAAACCCAAGTGAGTGCTTTCCTGGTATTTAAAAACTGAAGTCTGAGTTTATAGGAATAAAACTTGTGTGTATGTATGTGTGTGTATGCAAATATACTTATATACATGTGTGTATTCACATACAGCCATGATATATACACTTACATGCACACGTGTTTATCCATCCCTCCCTCTAATTGCAAGAAGCCTTCTTCATTCCTGAGTCCCCTGACTTCAGCACCCCAGATCCTCCCCAACATGGTTACTAAGTGGGCCCTTGTCTGTGGCCAGCAGGACTGTGGTGACCTAAACTGCTGGTGCTTCTGAGACCTCCCATCCACAGCCTGGTGACTGTCCTGACCCAGGTCAGGTTGCAGCTTGTACTTCCTGTGTCAAGTCCCCTTCTCCTCTGGTAGGATTGGCCACTTTGTCATGGACGTTTCCCCTTGGTCAGTGCTTTCCACTTTTCCTTGCAGTTGATCAGCTTTTCTTTTTAGTTGTAAATGACTATGGCTGAGTGTGGATTCTCAGGGTTTCATACAGTGCCTAGAAGACAAATAGGTATTCGATGATGTTTGAATGAATTGGTAAACCTGAACCTGGTTTGAAATTCTTGTAGCCTCATTTTACTGAGGTCCCAGCCCCACTTGCTGTACTGGTCTCCTGGGATCTCTAGGTGTTTTACACGTGGAACTAGTTTACCTTGCTGTTTACCTGTGTTGAGGTCATACGTCAGTCCTGGGAGGCTCTGCCATGGCTTGTCTTGGCTTACCTTGGACATGGGTTTCTGTAGCCTGACCCCATACCATGACCTCTTCCCACTTCCTTCCCGGCTCAGTCCCTGCTCCGTATCTGTGAAGGTGACATGCCCTGGTGGGCCCTGGCAGTGTTAGCAGGAAAGTAGGGAGCAAATTGACCAACTCCAGCAGGCAGGTCTACACTGAGTGGCCCTGTCTGGAGGTCAGCATTTGTCATCAGCCCTTCTGGGATCATCTGTTCCTTTCTCAGTGTCAGGCATCTGTAGCCTCCACCTCTTCAGCACATGGGCTGAGGGCACTGGTCTCGAGAGTGGTATGTGCTATGTAGTAGGTACTTGGACACACAGGAAGCCACAGAGAAGCAAGGTACAGATGCCTTGGGGAGAAACATTGGAGCACAGATGGGCTCCTTCTTACTGGGTTCTGCTCATACCTGCCCACCCCACAGTTCAGATCATGTCACCTTTTTATCTAGGTGACGTTGTCCCCCTTCCCAGCCACAGGTCAGGAGAGGGGAAGCCACCAGGCACAGAGTGTGCACTTGGAGTGCTGTCACTTTGGGAGGTGGGCCGGAGACCAGGCAGTGCTGGGGATGGGGTGCTGCTGTTCTTCCCCATGCAGTGCAGCTCCTGCAAGGCCAGAGGAAAGTGCCAGTCACTCAGAAAGGGCAGCCCTGTCTTGTGACTGTGGCTCCTCACTCACCTCCTGGATGGCCACTGTGGCAAGAAACAGGTTCCGGGAGTGGGCAGCTTTCTGCAGCTTCTTACGCTGTACACTGTAGGCAGTTTGCCTTCGAGACTGGATCTGAGGTACTGCTGGGTGCTTAGTGATGCCTGCAGTTTGGGCAGCATAGCTGGGGACAGCTGCCTGCACACTGGGCACAAGGTTCCTTGGGTGCCTCTGGTGAGAACTCATGTCTTACATGGGCAAGCCATCCTCACTGTCTGCTGGTAAGTGACTCCTTGCCACACACACAGCGGCTGGCTAATCCTCCTCCATCCCTTGTAGCTCTGGACAGTGTAAGTCTGGGCAGGCTTGGCCGAGGCCAGGATGGAGGCATTGGTTGGCATGGGCTCTTAGCTAGAGGCTCTGGGGAGCAGCTGCTTTTGTGCTCACGGGGCTGTTGTTGGGTTCACTTTTGTGCTGCCACAGGACTGGGGTCCCCACCTGGCTGGCTGTCATCTGTTGTGTTCTCAGCCCTTTGGGCCCTGTGCTGCTCCTGCAGGTGGCCACTTTGAGGCCAGCTGGAGAACACTGCTTTGTGGATGTGTGTGAGCACATCAGGCTTTAGGGTTCCTGGGCATGGGACAGGGTTCTTGGGGTACTGATCAAGGCCTTTTCAAAGTCCTGTCTTCCACACAGTATTTTAGCAGGTACGTGAAGTTGTGGAGTAGGACGTGAGCATATGTGTTTATGTGTGTGTACCTGTGTCTTTGTATGTTTGTGACATGAGAAGAGGATGGATGTCTTTTTGAGTCTGTTTATACATAACTGTAGGCATCAGTTACACAAGAGAGGGGCTGGAAAGTCAGAGTCCGAACGGTTGAGGTCTGATTTGCTCTGTTGTACCAGCCATGTACCCTGGCAATATGTGTAGCCTGTTTGAACCTCAGTTTCCCCATCAGCTCATGGGATGTGCAGTCACCCAGCCCTGCTTGACAGCAAGGGTGGTGCTCTGCATGTCTGTACTTCACAAGGATTAAATAAGGAACAGGGCTGGTGCTCACGAGCATGGGCTCAGGACACAGTTGAGTCCGATCCTAACCCTGCCGCCTACTGACAGTACTACCTACTGGCACGTCACTGCCTCTCTCTGAGCCTCAGGTGAGCCTGCCCCCAAGAGTAAACACAACCACGTAGCACTCAGGGTGCTCCCTCGATGACAGTGACAAAGTGGCTGTTGGCTGACATCCACAGTGTCTCAGGTCAGTACTGACTGCTTGTGCCTTCCTGCCCAGATGGAATCTGCCTGTGTGACCATCCATGAGGCTCTGAAGACTGTGATTGACTCCCAGACACACTACAGGCTCCGGGAGGCCCAGGACCGAGCTCGAGCCGAAGACCTCAACAGCCGTGTCTCTTACTGGTCCATCGGTGAGACGATTGCCCTGTTTGTGGTGAGCTTCAGCCAGGTGCTGCTGCTGAAAAGCTTCTTCACAGAGAAACGACCTGCGTACAGGGCTGTCCACTCCTAGCTGAGACAGCCCCAGGATGGAGCAGTACTCCTGGGTGCCAGGTTCCTGCACATCTGTGTCCTTGCACCCCACAGCAGAGCCCACAGAACGCAGTGATCCCAAGGGATCCAAGTGTATTCTGTGCACTGAACTGACCAGAAGAACGTTTACAGTCAGGTGAGGGGTTGCACTGTGGGAGGGCAGCAGGTGCGACCCTGGGGCCCAGTGCCTCTAGTACCACTTAGGGCTCGGCTTCTACTCCATGATGCCTTCTACTCCTGAGGCCTTGAGCCTCCTCCCTTTGGGGAGCAATGGGGGTCTCCACTCCGGCCTTTCCTTCCATGGGACTCTGCACCTGAGGAAACCGAATCCTGAAGCAGCTGTGCGGATCTGTGGACCTACCCGAGGCACAGCAGTGTCGGCCACTCAGGCAGGACCCATGTGAGGACCTTGCACCCTTGGCTGGCCCTGCATCTCCCAGAAGGTGGGACTGGGCTAATAAAGATGAGTGTGAGAACCTGCAGGTGTGTGCCTTTTTCCTGGTCTCAGAGGACTCAGAGCCCCACGAGGAGCTTGGGGTGTACAGATACCGGGAGAGCAGGTGTGGCCCAGAACTGGCATGATCGCTCCTCCCATATAGATGGGAAAGGGAACAGGAGGGGCCTTGGCTTCCTGTCACTCGCCATGCCATGCCATGCTGTGGGACCACCCCAGCCTTGTACCATTCAGCCTGCTGGTCCTTCCCCATGACCAGACTGAGTCTTCCCTGAACCCTTGTTGGCCCCTCTCCCTGCCCCAGACCCCTTTCCTATTTGGGAGAAATGAATGCTTGACTGAGACTGGAAGGAAGATATGATGTCTTTTGAGGGAAACTTGCCAAGAGATCTGAAACCCTGAGCTGTCTGGCAGGTGTTAAATAATGCATTGTAGGAAACGAGACAATGTAGGATTCAGTTCCCAGGGCTGAAAAAAAAAAATCAATTAAAAAGTGAAAGGAACAAAATAAACTGTTCTAAAAAGATACCCTGTAAGCCTGATTGACTTGCTTGAAAGATAAATGCTACTTCTCTGTCATACGTTTTTTTATGCTATTTCTTTCCTGTCTCCTGTTGTAAAATTAACACTGGGTAGATATAAAAAACTATGAACTCTGTCTCCTAGTACACGCACTACCTCAGTTAACAGCAGGACATGACCCTTACCTCTCAGGAGCCCCCTAACAACCCACTGTCCTCCTATCCTGAGGGAATTCCCTCCAACCTGGAAGTGGTGTCTGCCAGCCACTGAGAAGGGTTATAATCAAAGGACATATCTCAAAGCTCCTGGCGTCACTCTTTACTTTTTTCATAGGAACAGCGTTTTCCAATCTGGAAAAAAAAAATTGCTGGTGGTGACTTTCTGTTTTATTTATATAACTAATCATTCATCCATAAAACACAGATCCAGCTCCCGTCATTAAGAGATAATATTTTTATAAAATTTACTTCAGTATGTATTGGGTGGAGTCCTAGGGACTGAACTCACGGTCTTCACCTTGAGCAGGGTACTAACCTCTGAACCTTTGTTTCCTCATCTGCATTTAAGGAGGGAAGATGAAAATGAGTGTATTTCTGGATGATGATGGCGGCAAATCATTTGATCATAAGATGTAAGGATGTGACTAAAAACTTCAAGTTTAAAATATGCTAGAAATCATCTCCTTAACTTTCATTCCCTGTGAAAGTTTTAGACATCGGCTTAGAAGTGTCTTGAGTGTTTATGTATAGTCAAGAAAAAGATAATGCTGCTTTGCTGTTGGTATGGTTATACCTAGATGTCCCCCAGAAGCCTCACACAATCATAGTTGTGGCTTTGGGGAAATGATTAGATCATGGGGCGAGGCACCCATCAGTGGACTGGTCCACCAGTGAGTCTATAGCTGAATGTGCTGTCAGGGGATGGAGGCTGGTTGGACAAGTGGGGCTGCTGAGGTAGGACCTGGAAGGGTGCATCTCCCTGACGCCTCCCTCTCTCTGCTTCCTCATTGTCATGACAGCAGCAGCTTGCTTCTGCCAGGCCCTTCCACCCTGCCAGCTGTGCACTCACTGAAACCACTAAAACAGGAGCCAAAATAAACCTTTAAGCCCTGGAGGTCAGGCCTTTGTCACAGGGATGAGGAAATTAGGACAGCTCTGCTCTGAGGTTCCCTGGGAAGATTTTTCTCCCCTTGAATCTGGGCACCTTGGTGGAAGAGGATGTTGATTATTGGTATTTGATCAGGAAGTACTGGATTGGAACCCTTTTGGATTTGAATGTATGTCTGCCACATGTTAAAGGTGTCATGCATGTCGGGCAAGGTGCTGAGCTCTGAACCTCCGTTTCCTCATCTGTAAGGTGGACACAGCAGTAATCTGATGGGGCAGGGACCAGGGCTGTGCATCCCTGGTTAGCAGAACTAGGCTTTGCTCTGTTCCCAGGGGCCCAGTGGAATCTGTTTGAATCTGAGGCCCGGGTACTGCTGACAGGTGAAGTGTGGGGGTGCATCTGTCAGCTTGCTCAGGCAATTGAGAATCCCCCTGGCTAGAGAGGGGGCCTCTGTCTCCTACCGAGAGTCAGGATTGTTGAGAGGAGTTTTAAGAATATCTGGTGGAGTGTGGTTTGCTCCATACAATTGATTTCTAGAAACAGCTTTCATAGATTTCAAGAAACAGCTGAGCCTCTCCAGGAAATCCTCCAGAAAGTGGCAATTAACTTGGGCATGCCCCTAAGCCAGGAGTTGGTGTATGGTGCTGTCCTGCTGCTGGAAATGCCACTGCTACCATCAGATGGCTCTCTATGGCATGAAGGACCTTGAGACACAAAACCAGGAGACTTTATGGTCAGACGCTCTCCACAGGAAAACGGGGTGGGGGGCGGGATAAAAATCAAGGCTCATACTGGTGCTAGATGATCACATGGTAAAATTTTTTTTTTTATTTTACTCATTAGTGAGGGAACCAGATATTGTAATGGCTCGAAAGAGAATTCAGGGAACAGACACACTGACCCAGAGTTGTGAAGTAGCTGTGAATAGTGGGACAGGCTGGAGTAAGCCACCTGGAAGACTTGTGGTGTGAGGGAGACAGAAAAGTAGCTCAGGACAGACATTGGAATCAGACGGCTGGAGGGACACCCCAAGATGCAGTGTTTTGTTTCTTTTAAAATTAAAACTTTTCCTGCTGAACTGTCACAGTGTGTGGAGTGACACTGGTCCCCAGTTTAATTAACAAGACCAGCTGTTCTATTTTCTCTGGCTCCATAAAAACTCATCCTGTGGGCTCTTTAGGTGTGGTATGGGAACAACATTCAGCTATTGCTAGTGTTGGGGCCCAATCTTTTCATTTTCGTTAATTCCACCCAATATAAGGAAACCTTCATTATATTCTCAAAATAGGAAGGAAGGGGAGAAGGAAGAAGGAAGGAAAAAATCAGTTCTTGTAGATTCTGGGTGCTGTAGAGTATTTGTGTCCTGCCCTTGCCCAGTTCATGCGCTGAAATCTTACTGTAGAGTGGAGGTATTAGGAGGACCTCAGGGAGGTGATTGGGTCACAAGGCAGAGCCATCCCACATGGGATCAATACCCTCATAAAGCAGGTCGAGAAGACCTTGCCTTTTCTGCCATATGAAGACAGAAGACATGGCCATCTGTGAGCCAGGAAGAAAGAACCTGCCCAGACATTGAACCCATGGGTGCCTTAATCTTGGACCTTGTACCTCCAAATCTATGGGAAATGTCTGTTGTTTATAAATCACTGGTCTGTGGAACTCTGTCACAGCCCAAACAACTGAGACACTTAGAAATGAGAATGAGTGGGATAAAACTGCAAATACACAGCCACCCTGGAGAGCACAGCACTGGTGAGGGCTGAGCATCTTTATTGTGTGGTGGCGCCTCAGAGCAGAGAAAGGTATGCATTCAGGACTTGCAGCCCTGCTGTGAGTGTGCTAGCATAACCCTGGGTAAACCGTGCACAGTGTCTGCTCTGTGCTCACACTTCCAAGCCAGCTGAGATAGTGCTTGGGGTCTGAACATCTGAACCCACTGGTGATGGGGCTATGTGGATGAACGTTCATACCACTCCTTGTTGGGACTGGCATTCACCAGATCCTCTTTGCTCTTCACTGGAGTTCAGTGATCCTGTGACCTGCTCATCTGAGGAATAGTCTACCTTTTCACACATAAGCTTTAAAAAAATTATATATATGAATATATATATAAAATGGTTGCTTACCTGAGGTTCACTAATGTGGCTGCACCCAAACAGTGCTCCTATCATTTTCTAAGATGCTTCTGTGCGTTTAGATGTTGTGTAAGAATCCTAAAAGCTATGCATGGTGTGCTCAAGATACACTGTGAAAGTTTACATTTTTCAGAAAATTTTGTTATTACAGTAAGACACATTGGCTTTAATCCCGCTTAGAATACTCCTTGTAGCAGCTTCAAATAGACTTAACTCATTATTCTTGCTATTTTCCAAAGCATTTCTGGAAGTCCTCTTTCATGAGTGTCTTTACAAACTGTGATTTTAAAAAGAATACAGTGAGTGCTGCTGCCTAGTGCCATCCACTAAGGCGGGCTGGTAAAAAAACATTACAGTGTGTCCTCTTTTACCTCATTCACCAGATTTGGCGCTGTGAGACTTCTGGCTCTTTCCCAGTGTCAAAATGACTATGAAAAGTCAATGTTTCAAATCAACTGAGGATATCAAGGCACCCACAAGAGTGCAACTAAAGACATGAAAGAGGACTTTCAGAGCTGCTTCAGAAAGTGGCAAGAAGGATGGGATAAGTGTGTTTGAAGCTAGGAGGCGGAGTTTGCAGGGTATTAATGGCACTGTGTCTTTTACTATGATAAATTTAAAAAATTAAACATTTTTGAATCATACCTTAGTAGAATATAGTTTCGACCTGCTACGTGGTACACAAGTTGTTGGAGGCTGTTCTGCTGTTCGTAGAAAATGAAGCTGCCACTACTGAGCTGTAATGAAGGCCAATCAAGTATGTTACTTTCTCTTGGAATCGGCTTCAACATTAAAGAGTCCTCTTTCTTGGTAACCACATCCCCTGCAAAAGACAAAGGCCCAGGTAGCCAATGGCTTGTGTGGTCAAGAGAAGGAAAGGTCCTGCTTTGTCACTAAGTAACGTCTCAGTTATAATCTAGATCACTGTACAGCCTGCCTTCAAGAAGAGAATACATTTGAGTTGCACTTTTAATTGTGAAATATTTGAAAGCTACCTTCTTGTAATTTACAAAGTTGTATTGCAAGCAGTTGGGATATTAACTGAAATTGACACATTCTCAACTGCACACAAAGCAACCACCTGATCCTCAGACCTATGGCTTGTTGGCTCATCTTGGAAGCCACCCCTGTGTCATCCATTCTCAGCTGTGCTCAGGAATGGGCCCTGGACTAGGCTGCTGTGGGCTGGTAGCAGTGAGGCTTATGTGAGTTGTGGGGGTGAGTGTGTTAAGTTTCTGGTCCTCCTTGGGGTGGCACCTGCCCAGTGGGCATTATCCACTTTAATATAGAGAGACCATAGCCACCCTTTGGGGAGCAGCCCATGCCGCAGGGACTCAACACCCTGGCTGGGAAACTGACAGAGGGTGTGAGAGCCAAGGTCTCCTGACAGCACCAAGGAGGGACTTTAAGCAGAGCCCTTTCTCTCAGTGCTGCCCTCAAGTATGCCACCCAGTTGCCCCTTTGCCCCAAAGTCAGTGGCAGCAGCTGGGCTTCTCAGCCATGCCTCTCAAAGGCTCATGGAGGTGGTGAGCAGTTCCACCACCTGGTGTATCACTGAATTGTCCCTTTCCGTCACACCTGGGATAGAGATTAAAATTGAAGACCACTCTCATTCCAGTTTGGTTCTTTCTAAGTGTACCATGAACTCTGGACAAAGTTGTCAAATACTATTAGTAAGTGCAGCTCATCCACTTGTGATACTGTGTCCTGGTGCT